CCAAAAAAGGATAACTTCGAAATAATGTTGGTGAATATTTGTCGGTGAAATAATTGTCGATGAAATGATTGCCTCCCGTTCGGAAAGGCGTGCTCTCAACGTAAGTCACCAATAAAACACATAATCAGTTAACACTAAAATTAGAAAAACTTAGCCTTCCAATATCTCACCACACACACAATTCGAATTGAAAGCCCACGTCCCTTGATTAATCGCATTTACCAACAAATCGTTTATGCCGACAGTAAACCTATCAATCTGTCAACGAAAGACACCAATAAGAAAGAAAAGTATACAAATTATTAACAATGTCTCAAAATTTAATTAAACGGACAAGCACTATATATCAGAATATATAAAACCCCACCTGAACGATCAAATTCACGTTCTGCAAATTTCACATCAAAGTATCCTTATCACGACAAAAAGCAGCTCCATGCAATTGAGGACATCAATCCCAATGAAGACGTATCGAACGACATTTGGCTGCATCTATCGGGAATCAAACAAAACAATAACACGACTAAATCCAGGAAACAACCCTACGAGATTTAGTCTCTCGGAAGTTAACTAGTGAAAAGTACGATCGAACGTTTTTTTCAATGTATTAATTATTGTTTAAACATTTGTTATGTGCTATACATTTTAACAATAGCTTTATACAGATAGATAAGACATTTTCCTGTTACTTTTTCTTTTCTTTCCTTTTTCTTAATAAAGTCATATTTTCTTACCACAATCGAACGTATGATGAGCTTAATTATGACGACTCCATTAATTTAAGAAGGTTGACTCACGAACCGTCTGGTATAGTAGGTCTATAACTTTATATATCCATTACCACATGACCATGGTAATATATTTTTACATTCGCCATGTATACTAAGTATTCCCAACAGCGTGACTTTTCCCAATTATATACTTGCATGATAAATCTTCGCTATATGAACAATCTTCAAATATCAATGAAAGTACGAACTATCGAACATATAACGCACTGTTAAATAACGAAGACACCCCGGTGTGTAGACCATTATGTAACTCAAACCGGCAAGTCTCTGCAGATTTGTACTCTACGAACTCATACCGAATAATGGTTTCTCTTTTATCACATATTGCCATCTAATAACTATTGATGGCTATTTCTTGTAATAGTCAAAATCAATTTTTATGAAGATGTATCCACTGCACGAAATGATAGCTTTTAGTCAAGTTTGCTACATCATGGTTAATCTCGCTCAGTGAAACTTATGAACTGCAGTCGAACCTCCATAAAAGAACATTTTATCAAGTGAGAACATAATTTGGCTGTCCCAACTGTGTTCTTTTATAGAGGTTCGACTGTACACTGAATTTACTATTAAACATTGTCTTAGTACTGATAATACAATTTGCCATTTCAATACCTCCCAGCCAACACAGTTATATCCAAAAGAAAACTTTATATCAGTTAACTAAAATACCGTTATGCATAAGTATTATAAGCTGTACATTTGACAAAGTACTTAAAATCCTATTTAAAACTATACCAAGTTTGCTGGAGGTTATATGGAGTACGTACTGTCATTTTGGTCGAGATAATTGCTTATTAACATATTTAAGATTTAGTAGCTTGCGCAGCAGGTTTCTTAATCTAGTTTAGTATTAGATAATATTGATTTGTGTATAATTTTTACCAGTTACGTGATGAGCATACAGGTATGCCTGCCGATGATACTCTCACTTTCTCTAGTTGCTCCACAAATAATTGCTACAACTTCTCTCATAATGTGAGTCTTGTTCTTTAACATAATCAGTGACTTAATAAATTTCTTCCTCCAAATCAAGATATTGTGGGTTGTTTCAATGCCACTTACCATTGTTTACCAAGGCTTGGAAGAAAATCCCTGAATTCCGCAAAATGAGTTGAGGATGATTGTAGACCGAGTCGTTGGGGTTGTTTTTGTGTCAGTTTTTTGTTATGTGTAACGCACTCATTTATTCGCGGATCATCAATTAAAGTTTTATTTTTTATTATACTATGTAACACCACAGCGGATATTCATTATAATGGACGAAAATTCCCAGCCAGGGTAAGATGTAACTTTATTTTTATTTTTTATAATCATAATTTGTGCCTTAATGATTTGTATTCAAGGAAAACATGTTCATGATTTTAATAATACTCGACAACAACTGGAAAATGATATCACAACACGAGAAACTCATCACCATAGTTACAAATAATAAGATATAAATATTATAATAGTATTTATTTTGAATACTAACGTTCACCTAATTCACATAATTCGGTCCATTCTTTCGGAGGATGCATTTTTAAGATTTCATCTGGAAGTGTGATCAACTGCATCAAAAGACCTGATTCCAAATGCCACTATAAAAGATAAAAAGCTTTAAAATCAGAATCGTATTCATTTTTTCATGTATCAATAAAAAATCTTTACATACCTCGTAAAAAAATGAAATAAAAGGAAAGGAAAAAAAATGTTAGTGAATTTGTCAAAAAAAAAAACAATATACTGAACAAAAACGGAATGAAACGATAGCATATCATGTGACAGTGTATTCCCCAGACTCCAGGATTGTCGGAAACAAATCTGATGGCAATCCATCTAGAAAAAAAATTATATTCGCCTCTGTTTAGTCTGTTTTTCATTTTACTAATGGGACTATTTGTCACCCATTATATGTCATCGGTGAAAGAAAACGCGAAATTTTTTTACCCTAAGGCAGGTACTGTCGCAGTATCACGCTTGATTGGATTATGTGTATTCAAATCATTTTCATCAACTTTGTCTCCATCTCCGGTTCCAAGTACCCAAAATTGGTATCCATGCTAAGTTTTTAGAAAAAAAAGTTAAATTTTAAATCATTTATGTTGATTAATTAATTTTACATACAATGTGAAACGGATGGTCGCCATCGTCGGTATCTAAAAAAAATATTTGTTAGTAAAATCATAAAATTGAAAATTCTTATGCAATTGTACTTACTGATGAAATAAATATCAACTACTTCTCCATCTTTATCAAAAAAGTAGGCATTTGCACTAGTTTCGTTAATTGGTTTCCCTTTAAAGAGTTTATCTAAACTCGGAAAATTTATATCGGGTATATAGGAAGATTCATTAAGGAAAGCTTTAACAACTCCTGTTGTATTCTTATGAAAAGCAATTTTGAGTTCCAATTTTTTCGTTTGCTCGGGAATCTTTTCTTCTTTAAGTGGTTGTAAAGTCTTGTGATCTAGATCAACGCATTCTGTCAAGGAATCAGACCATGGATTGTCTTTTGGTTCAGGACCATCGGCTCCTCCTTCATAATGTACTATAGCTTTAATAGTAGGAAGACTAGCTGCAGCATCTGGCATGCATTTCTTTTGAAATTCAGAACGCATTATATAATTATCGACCGGTTGGTTTGCAGTAACAATAACAGAATATCTTTGGGCGACATTGATGGGAAGACGATGGATCTTATTTCGCTTAGTATATTCACCGTCTGCTTCTATAACTTCCATTTCATGTTTATCAATAGAAAAGAAGAATGCCGAAAATGCGCTAGAAGAATAAAAACATTCGTCATTTTTAATTTTTTTTGAATTGCATAATACGATGATGTAGATTACTGTACCTAGTATTAATGATACGAAGGCGATATTTTTTATTTTGAACGAATTCAAATTTAGCAAGACCGGCATTGTCCACACATTTAGAACCCGGTGGGGCCTTGGAGCAATCGAAATTATTTTTTCCATTGATCAAACCGTTATCGGGAACTGTAGGTGTAGGAATCGTTCTAATTAGCACCACACGGTCATACCTTTGTACTTATATCAATCTTTCTTACCTGGCTATTATTATATAATGAGAATGAATTAATATGAATTTAAGAATTTCGAATTAAGCTTCAAAACGTTAAATTTACCTCTTCTCCTTTACTTTCAGGAGTTAAGAATTGTTTTAATAAAACTTGTGCATTGGTATGATGATAATCATTCAACATGACAATAATTTCCTCATCATATTCCGCTTTATACGGATCATCAGGATCGTGAATAACTAATAAATTAAATAGAGAAGTCATAAAAAATTAAAAAAAAAAAGTTGATTTAAATTAAATAATTAAATAACTTACTTAATGCGCCAAAAACTCCATCAACATATTGCATCGTTTCATGCGCATGACTAAAGAAATATTATATATAGACAGTGAGTACATAGGAGTTCAAATGATTTTTTTTTTTTTTTTTTTGGTCTCATAAATACTCACTACCAATGAGTGCCAACTTGGTCGGCGACAGTGAAATTGTAGGTGAATTCGTAATCGTCTGGTATAACGCATTGAGCCTGATAGTACGTGTCAATCAACGATTGGTCAATATTGAAAGAATATAATTATACGAATCAGTTTTTTTCATAGACTCACCATCCATGGTACTCCATCGAACCTATATAATAGATTGTGAAATTAGTATGGTCTTTGTAAAAATTAATTCCGGTAAAAAAATAATCACATACCAAGGGGTTCCTCTTTGAAGCATCCCATGCGCGTGAATAGCTAATATTTCATTTTGCAATATGCGCTTAAAAACACGTACAACACATAAAACATAGGAAAATATTTGTTGCAAATTACCTGTTGGTTCTCCCAATTTATTATTAATTTTCATCACGATACGATCTCCTTTGTTAACTTCTATGGTTGGTCCAGGATATTGTCCATTAACGGTTGATAATTGACGAGTAAACCCATCTGGAGCCAAAGTAACTTTTTCTATCGTGAAATCAAAAATATTTGTTTTTGGTTCATACTCCCGGTTCAAAATTGGCGTGGGCGAGACTATTGCTGTCCAAAGAATAATATAAAAGAAAAAGATCCCACAAGAAGTCATCATTATATTATTATTACGTTAAATTAATTAGAATTAAGGATAACTTGGCAGTATTTTATATCTTTCATTACCATGTGTGCATGAATGGCCTTATTATTTTTTTATTTGTCATTCATTTTATGAAAATAAGTCGTACAGTACATAAATAATTAAAAAAAAAAAGATCGATGCTTCTTTCATAGTAACCCATTTAGTTCCGGTTACGATAAGTATAATTTATTTTATAATATTGAAATTAGCTATAAGGCGATTATTTATCATATGTTTTCTTGTGACAATTATTTCCGATTAATTTCAATTAGTGACTTTAAATGACTGTTTTAGCGCAATTTAATTAAGTCACGCTACTATACATTACATAAGCATGCATTCTGAAATAGGTGATCTCAATGGAACCGATTCAAGCTTGAGGCCGAGAACATCAAAAATAAGACCAAAAATGTTAAGCTTAAGACTAAAGTTGTGAAATTGGTAGATAAATAATTGCAAAACCGAAGTAATAAAAAGTTTATTAACCGGCTTATGTGTTACTGATAATACTGTTCAAACCGATAATTTCACCTGTGATCACGAGGAAGAAAACAATCGCCGGGTTATGAACTAACTTAAAGTGTTTCGCCAGCATCTACTTGACTATAACAAAAAACTTTTGAAAAATCCACGCGAGATATACAGGTGGCAGGTAATGTATTACACTTGAATTTTCTCGTACGTGATATGGTTAATGTACACCGATACCATTTACGATCTGTTGAGATTCTTGTACAATTTTCGGATGAAGCTGTTGTAACTAAATTTATAGAAACTTTGTTACTTTTACGTAATATAGTAATTCCTGATTTATCTTTACTATATTACGCATCTATCTCCACATCGCAAAGGCAAATGGAAGATAGTACTAAATTTCAGTTTCCACCCCACGAGACGATAACTAGACTTCGCTATATGTACTTTTTTTCTATCTTGTATTTTATATTTATCCCAATAAAGATGGCCCTGAGGTCGATTTTTTATTATTTATCGGGCACATGATCAAGTGTCAAGTCTGCTGGAAAATTAAACCATATGCACGATGTTTGTAACACCCGAAACAGATCACACATGCTCGATATAGATCACACACCCCGAAATAGATTTCATACCGAAATAGATCATGTAACGATTATCCCGATATAGAATAACACATTATCAATTGATTGGGTGGTCGTCTGATACCTCAAAGAGGGTCTGATTATCTTGGGTTAAATAAAGATTTTTCGTGTATTTTTTCTTGGCATTTTTTGACGAACATTGTTCGCTGAAATTTTATCAGATGGTTTACATTAACACGATAAAGAATTTAATATATCCATATTTTTATAAAATATAAAAAATGGCAACCAAACAATCCAAAGTCGATTCATTAGAAGAACGGATTTCCAAGCTTGTAGCTGAGAATGATATACTTAGACGGGAAAACACTGAGATCAAGTCTGAGAAGTTGATTTCGGATTTGGTGATCATTAATATTAATTACTTCGGCTCGGAATCGCTCAATATTTACAGGAAATTGTAGAGGTTTCAGCAGAAAAGCAAAGATTAGCATTAATAACAGCGATATATTAGCTTGGTCTCTTATGATAATTCCTGATTTGCATATCTCGTAATGATGATCCCAAATGAAAACACCACTTATTACCACGCATAAAATCAATTATCGGGAAAAGAATGACCCTTCGTTTGAAAAAGTAATAAATTTTTAGCACTTTGTGCTTGCTCTGCTAAAAATTCTCGAGCTATGCGTGACAAATTGTCACGCCGATCACTTTTGTCAAGAAAAATAAAATCGATTGCGTAATACAGATGTTCGATCAACACATCACATGTTATATCACAGAAGAAAATCGAAGGTCATGGAACTTCTGCATGCATGATGTAATCGTATGACCTGACTAACACAAAAAACCAGATTTGAATATTTTCTTTGTAAAAAGTTTTTTCGTTGTGCATATTTACATAGTAAATGCCATGGGCTATGCATCGCTCACAAAGTGGTGGCAAAAAAAAATGTGCGGGCATGTGACTACCGAGGTTGTCGATACTAGTTTTGGAAGAGATCGCTCTACGGTCGGGTGAAGTAAATTGCATCACAATAACAAAATTTGTATATGGTCAAAAATATTGGTATGTTTCCTGATAAAGGCTCCCTGCTCTAATAAGGTAATAAGGAAATTACTTAGGGGGTAAATAATTTTCGATAGACTTGTAGTAAAAATGAATTGTAAGCATTGATTTCAATTGAATTTTGTATAAATAA